CCCTACACGACGCTCTTCCGATCTCCCCAAAACCCCAAAACCCCAAAACCCCAGCGGCGTTGGTTTAAAAACAGAATATGCTGATTCAAAAGTGGATATTATGGTGAATTAAATAATTGTATAGGCAATTAGTTGGTATTTTAGCAATAGACTAAATTTATTTATTTATACTTTAAGGTGACTTCAGTAAGCTCTTTTAGGTTTCTTACGAGGTACCTTTCCTCCCTTCTTCGTACTTCCTCCTAGATCTTTATAGGCCTGTTCTTTCATCATGCCACGCCAGACTTTACCCTTGCCCTTATCCTCTCTATTCAACCAGATCAGATCTTCTCTGAATCTCATATCACTCGGCAGAGCTATTTCACTAGGAATCGGATCTGCTACATCTAAATTCTTCCAATCTGACTGTGGTACCTCCTCTATTTCATAGTAGTCAATAGCATTACCCTAGATTCTCTCTAGTTTGTAGTCGACATCGTAAAGATCTTTGATATTTTCAATGTTGAAAGTTTTGCATTTGTCAATGAACTGCTAGGTTTTCTTGGGATTGTATTTGTATATCAGGCCCTGAACTATCTTCATGTCTTTACGAGTGTTTGCTACATATTCTACTCCGCATAGATTTTTTTCAGTTAAGAGACCTTGAAAGAGCACTACAGATTTAATCTCATTTTTCTTGTCAACCACAACTAAAGGCCCATTAATTAAGATCATAGCTGGCTTGCCTACATAGTAGTAACCTGATAAAATGTACTCTGGCAATTAAAATTCAATTATCTGGTCGGCACCTTCTTGGTCAAAGAACTTGACATTTAAGATGCCAGGCAGAGTAATTACCATATTGTTGCCTTTCCACTTTTATTGATAGGTTAAGTTTCCAAATATTTCATACTTTCCCGGACTCTCTATATGAATATAGGTAGTGGGATCATCAATAGAGATATTAACATCTTTGAGCGTAAGCTTATCAACGTAGTCAAACTCAAGGAAGTCGCTTTCCATAAATACATTACTCACATTGTGGTAGATGTAATGACCTTCAAATGTTTCTCCTGGCAAAGGCCTTAGAGGGCTCTTTTGAAACACGTCTTAAAAGGTTAGGTTATGAAGAATTGAGAATGCAAACTTAAGAGTTAGCTTGAATCTCTCAAACTCATCACCTTTGCTTGCTGCATTTTCTAATATACAAGGAGCATAACTAAACAGGTAAGAATAAAACTAAGATATAGATTTTGAGTCTATCATACTGATAGGCAATTGAACCTCTCCATTTTTTACTTTATTTTTAGCTATCCTTAAGTTCACCTTGGCTAGCATGTCATTTTATTTAATTAGCTGCTCCTTATCATGATTCATAATAAGCCCATTCGGTAATCTGTTGTACTTACTATTATTTGATCTGAACTGACTTGCGCTGGTTGCTCCAGAGTCATAAGAGTTATCAGTGGTTTTACTGCCGTCTTCCTTTTTGTTATTATTCTTATTGTATTGATTTAGCTTATTGCTGAACGGGTCCTTTGCTTTTGGAATTTCTCCCTTCAAGAACATGTCCTCTTCAATTTCGTCTTTTAAATTATCGAACTCCATCTCGTCGTCAATATCATCCTAGCCAATATTCTTGAACTTGTCATTTAAATTCTTAGTGTCGTTGCCTTGGAATTCCTAATCAAACTGGGAGTAGTACTATTTTTACCTTTCTTAGTGCAATTACTAAAGTTGGTTCTTATTCTTTTGGAACTAGCCCATCAACTCCTCCTAGGTCAGGTACATAGGCACCTCAATCATGGCGTTCTTCGACTTCTTCTGCAGCTTCTTAGATACATCTCTTTCGAATTCCTCTTTCAACTTTTATTCCTGCTCCTCGAGCTCCTTCTCGGTTTATTTCTTTTTGTCTTTTTTATCTTGCTGTTTTGAGACAGGGTTTTGCACATAGCTGAAAGCTACCTGAGATTAATCGAATTAGCCCACATTCTTAGGCTTAACCAGAGCTTTCTAGCTCTCAAACTTAGCGCCCTCCTTGCTCTGGAATTACGTACTCTGGAAATGATTGGTACTAGTACCTGTTTGTGCAGTTGTAAACATGTTGGCTACTGTAAGGCTGTTGGGAGACCTAATGGCTGAACCGTAATTCTACTGACTTTCCTAGTCTAGTTGCTGTTTGAGCTTTTCGTCATGCTGCTTCTTCTAGTCTAATTCCTGCTTGGTATAAATCCAAGCCACTTTCTTCTTCTGCTCATTCTCCCTGATATCGTAGTCCTTGATCTTTTGGTGATCTCCATCGAGTCTACCTAGTTTGCCTTGATCTAAACGAGGTGGCATTAATTTATAATTATGATAATTTAATGTCATCAAATTGACATTTATTTGCTTATTAGGGGTTTTGGGGTTTTGGGG